AGAGGTATATAACGTGATTAAATTACTCAGAGTGGCTTCAATTAACCAATCTTAATCCAGTATTTACTGAAGTCATGGTAGAATGATCAATACTATTTCGATTTTTTCGGAAACCACATTGAATATTTGTAATGAGTTTATTGCTTTCCAGATACCAAATAAATCTATTACTTACCATTCGTTCATGGTTTTACAGACACATTGAACGGTGTCTACTTTGGCATTAGGAAGGAGGATATGCATCAAGTCCGTATTTGATCAAATATTTCTAAAAGGATCTCAAGACGTGCTTCACATCTAGACCAACGTTTCAAGAGCTTATAGTGAATATTATCAGCCCCTCTTGATGTATTATGCTCCTGCTCAAGGGCAGTATTTAGCGCATGTCATGAAAATTCGTTGTGGTATTCACCATTGTTGGAAGTAAAGTTAGGTATTTTGAATTTGTCTCACATTCCATACTTGTGACATCTATGTACGAGAACTTATTTTGGAAACCTAGCTTATTCTGTTTCAATTCTGTTTCCTGGCTTGCCAATTGAAATTATAACCTTATCTAAAATATGGACTGAAAGATGTTTAAGCTTCTCACATAATGACCAATTTGCCTTGGCAAATTTCCATCTTAACAAAGGTAAATCATCACCAGGGTTTACAGCTTAATGAATGGCAGGGAGGTGATCACTCCTAAATAGAGGATCGTCATGGTTTGTTCAAAGTCACTGTATAGGTTTGACGAGCATAATAAATCAATACCATCCTTGAGTACCTCCACAGAAAAGATTACCACGTCAGGGGGTACGTGCCTATGTAAAAGCAAACTACTGTGCGCAACATACTGTGTTTTCTCAGTCCACTTCACATGACATTTGGTTTCTTAAGTTGTCATGAACCACTGAACATAGATATGTAAAGTATGCCTGTGTTCACTACGTGTATTAAGAAGTGACACAGGGAATCAAAGAATACTGTTTTTCAATAAATTTGTCATGTGGGATAACCGTGTACAACGCTGAAAATACTTGGTTCTTTTCTGAGATTGTACAAATTCAAGCTGAACCTTTGAGGTTATATGAACCCACATAGTATTAATTCAGTTTGTTTCAAATACTTTCAGTAAATGTGTAGAACGCTCGGGTGGAAGTTCGTGTCACTTGTCAAAATAATGATAATACATAATTCTGAAATACAGACCACGTGCCTGATAAAACATTCTTTGAGCTTGGTGTTGGTATAGTGTTATCAGGTATCAAAGTTATCAAAGTGTCTAATTTGTTACGTGTACGCACGTACACACACACACACACACACACACACACACACACACACGTGTAATGTGTTATATGGAAGTTGTTCACGTTCATTCAGCTTCTTAAAATGTAATATTTTGCAATAGAAGAATAGTGGACAACTTAAACGAAGAAATGAAAACATATTGCATCTTTATAACTTTAATATATCTCATGAGATTAGAGACGTTATTTAACGTCCCATGTGGTCAGTGCAAATCTGGAGAGAGGTTACATTCTTGATGCTTCTTGCTGTTTCAGAAGCGTCGATGTGAAACACGTGCTTCAGAGCAGGGGAAGAAGCGACCAAGTCGATGGTGGTGTTGTCCACTTGGTCAGTGACTGTCATCACAAACACTTCCGCCTTGGCTTTCAACCCATCAATGCTACTTCTCACGTCTTCATTAGCGTCACTGTACCCGTCAGTCAAGAGAAGAACCACATTCGGAACGTCAGACCGATCCCCATTGGTTTCCGTGAAGACTTCAGATGTTGCAAGTTTGATAGCATCTCCAAGAAATGAGTTCCCCCCTGTATGCGTTTGGGAATCAATGGCTTCCATGATGCTTGTCTTGTTGTCCCTGTAGGTATTCAAATGGAATACGACTTCAGCTGTGTCCGAGAAGACCATGAAAGCCACGTTAGTTTTCTTTGAACTTATGGAGATGTTTCTGATGGTATCAACCACAAAGTCCTTCATTTTCCCATAGTTACGTGGACCGACAGATGTAGAAACGTCCTCTATGATGAGGAGATCTTGTACTGTTGATTTGCATTCTGTAACACCGAATATGAGTTTTAGTTTCATCGTCATGAAGATAGATTGTAGGAGGTAAAGATCAAGGCAAAGGTGATTTGAAATGTAAGGTTAACATTTATGTTCATTAATTATTTTTACTCAAGATAATGTGAAGGCTGATGACTGAATAAAAGCATATTGTTTCATAACATAGTCATCATTTTTTCAGTCATATCACTGCAACAGTTAAGTAATGTTAACGATATCTGGTTACGTTTATTATTCAATGTTGAGATTATAGTTTCGTTGAAATGATTAGAATACGATTTTAACTACCTATTTGACATTCAGGTCCCGAGAAGCCTTGTTGACAGTTGCAGCTGTGTTTGGCATTATTTGGCACACATGTCCCGTTGTGCATACAGGGTTGGTAGACACATGCATCTACATCTGGAATATAACCGTGTAGTTCTATACAGCGCAACAAAATTGAAACGGACGTCGACATCGGAGGTGTGCTCATTGTCGTTGGACATACTCATACCAATAACTTAAATATTGTTCAACTGCTGTGTTAGGCACAATAATGTAATAATTTGAGATGCGCATGTAGTGATCGTTTGGCCGGTTGCTAGAAAATACGTAGGTGGGTTTGGAAATACATCGTTCACAAAGTATGCCAGCACCCACGACAGAAGCTTGGCAAAAAAAGATATGGCTTCTGCTACAGCAACATGATTTCTACTGAAATGCTTCGCCGGGGTTTCGTTGACGTAAAGAGGCCACATGACAACTGATCGACCATTGTATTGTATATTGTTGTTTTTTCCACGCACATGCCATTTTACAGAAGTGTGTGCCCCTGGCAGGATTCAATTCACAAAAAATACTTTTGATGAAGAGACGGTTTTAACATCTTCGATTTCTACACTACGATTTTATTTTATGAAAGGTACTGACACGTGAGTTTCGAGGACGATTTTTTGCACAACATATCGTTCAGGTCAAGGAGGAAAGTATTATACGGGCTTTCCTGTTTACGTTGTTAAGTGTTGTTGACATTTAACCTTGTATGTTAACGCGATAATCCGTCACATAACTTCATGAACTGATAATACCAGCACTCTCCATCATATAAATGTTGCGCATAATGAAACTAGGTATGATGATCAAGTTTTGTTGCAATATAAATTCAAGTAACCACAAAGTTGATGAATTTTAGAACAAAAAATGCATGTCACTCATTAAGAAAACTATTCATACTTGGTAAAACATCAAGAGGAAACACAATCACATTGCTTTAGAAATTCTTTCTATATCATGAAATGGCGGTGTAGCTAATTGGTTAAAACGTCCACTCGTCACGCTGAAGGACTGTGTTCGATTCTCCACATTGGCCCAATGTGTGAAGCCCGTTCCTGGTGTCCCCTGCCGTGATATTGTTGGAATATTTCTAAAAGTGTTGTAAAACCCAGCTCCCTCTCTTTCTTACCATAGCAGTAATTGTTTGGGCCACTCGGGGGCAGCAACCGGAACACCCGCCTCCCGTCGCTGCATGTTTGGGTCCGTGTATTAAGGAAGGCTTGATAACAGTACAAGCCGCGAGTCGACAAACACACCATTGCCAGGTCGCCTCTAATCTCTAAAACATTTTCAAACATGCAGTTCCAAGTATATCAGTATATATAGTGGTTAAAATAGTAAGGGATATATGTAAATTTTGAAATTATGAATAATGATCTATTTATTCATTGACACACTGATAAAATATCAATCGTAGAAATACCAATATCCCTAACTTATTTTGTCCTATATTCTTTCAATGTCGTTCCAAATTGGTATTTGCGTGAGCTGAATGAAGTTATTAATGTTACTACCAGACCACTGAATAACTAGGATCATCACACGAAGATCATCTCGGTGAGTTTTGACCGGAATCCCTGGCTAAAGTAACAACTGCAATATTGTGATAGTCGTGATCTAGGTATATTACTTGATACCAATATTATATGTCAGATTTAGTGAGAGAATGAATGAGAGTTAAACTGTCAGTAGCACGTGACAGCATGAGTAAATACAGAACGTGTGTGCAAAATACAACAGACTATCCTCAGAAACACATTCTAGTATGAATGGATCTCTGGTGACGATACCATGTGTTTGAGTAAGCATGTCCTGCCCTACCGGAAGCATCCGACATCCACAAAAAATGGAAGTAATTTCCAGCCTGAAACACTCCTCTTGCTTTGAAAAAGGCGGCTAGTAAACGAACCAGACAATCAACGTAATCGATGAACCGAAAAACATGTTAATAATTTCTAATTTCGAATAAAATGGTACAGATTCCGATGAATAAAAGTAATCTAAAGCATTTGCAAATATGACTGACAGTCAAACCGAAAGCTTAAATATCACATTCGTTTTTGTTAAGGGTTTTGTTTAGACAGGGATATGAGGAAATACAAATGCATGCTGCAGAGTTATGTTCACTCATGCCGTCAGTACTAAATGATGTTGGCTAAACACAAGACGTTTTTGCGTTAATTCTAAGCTTAAATTCTAAAATCACGCTTAAGACGCCATGGTTTTTGACAATCCATTAATATAGTATGCGAGGAGGGAGGCCTGAGTATGATCTGGAGATAAAACACCGGTTAATATTAATGCTGATGCAATACCAAGAGCCACTTATTCTTACCTGACATTTGTCGTACGAAAAGAACAATTTTCCTAATACCAACTCTATTCCAGATTCTAAATAAAGCACCTTCAGATAAACGAATGTGAATAGGTACTTGCAACATAATGACATAAAAAATGATATAACTACCTTTGACCCACATAGGGTTAATGTTCCCACATACCGAGCCCCATGCATATCTAGTCAGTATGCTTGCAGTTTTGGAGGAGTCAAACCATCCAGGATGAAGATTTCTGTCTTGAGTGTGTTGAGAAGGATTTTTGTTGGATGGGCCTCTTGCCTCCAGGTACGGTATGGTTCTAGACACTTTACAAGGATCTACAAGTATATGTGTATCTACATTAGTCTTGTCTAATGGTTACAAGTACACCTGCACTCGAAAATAATAAGTACAGCTGCAGATTATTTGGTCAAGAAGCGTTTCATGTACAGTCAGGGTCAGACAGATCTTTGAAACTGTTTACCCACGTTCTACAAAGTGAAAGAACAGGGTGAGTGAGGCTTTACCCTCACTTTATCACTGCAAATGGCTATAAGGTCAGACTAAATATAATGCATCAATGTATGGAATCGAACCACAAGGCTGCTAAATGTTTCACTAAAGGATTCAGTCGAAGACGGAAGTGAACTGGTAGGGTAAAAATGTAATACTTACCACCATCACACGTAGGGCCTGTATGTCCTGTCGTACAATTGCATGTGAAACCGTCACGGCCTGCGACACATTCACCTCCATTTGCACATGGCGAACTGAGACAGTAGTTAGGGGCTGAAACACACCCATAAAATATGCCAAAATACATCGGGGCAGTAACACTACTCTTCAAACTCACTAATTTCCACATTCCCCAGCTAGGCTAATGATTATTCCCGGTGTCGACGGGAAGGCTGCTGGCATCTTCTCGGGGAAAGGGACATAACTGACCATGAAAGTCCAGTTTCTACCCTTACTGAAAAAATCTGGCATTATGTAAAGCTGACTAGTGTAACAAATCTATGCATATTCTTATCAAATATTGCAAACGAAATCGCCATCCGAGGTAATGAATAATGGATTTCTACGGCGCCTGGTATCCAACTCGAAGCTGTTCAACAGCGCATCACAGGAGGAAGGGATAGGCTTCTGGGAAGAGATAGGTTTTCAGCAGTCTGCAGTCTGAGTCAATTGTTTCTGCATATCTTATCTTCAGGCGGATGGAGTTCCAGGGGGTTTGGGCAGAGACAGTTTTGTCCAGGTATTTCTCCAACCATAGGCTCCGTGCAGGTGTATGGACACTGATCAAGTCCCTAAGGTATACAGGGTAGTCTGGATTATTCACTGCTACTTAATTCTTGGTTTTCATTACCGCCCGACAAAAAGAATTGACCCAACCCCCATATTGTATTTTTCATTTTTATGCAACTTTTACTTTCAAAATGTGCATGCAATTTTCTGAGAAAAGGTTGTACATTTCCACAGAATTCAAGGGGTTTAGGATATAAAATAAAATCAAACATATTTTTTTAAAAGTGATGAGAAACAACAATATTTTGTGTGGCCTAAAATAAGAGATGCACTGGGACAGTTACACTACTCTTCAAAAACCAACTAATTACCACATTCCCTAGCTAGGCTAATGATCCAACCTTTTATGCGGGCTGAATTTGTCTCTCAGATGAATTTTCTCTCTTATACACTGCCAATGAACATAGCCGTAGCAAATTAGGAGTCACATGGCAATGTGGGTAATCTGAAATAATTGTTCCGCTTTATTTCATAGTTAATTTGGAAATCAAGTTTTCCATCAATCTCAAATTTAAGCACATTCTGTGTTTTTAATGATCAAACACGATAACAAACTGATACACTTTCAATTCAAATTAATTTGAAACGTAATACAGCACACATGTACTAGTTCAGTGTGTAATTTCGAAATGCAGAATCGGAAAATTCATTCTATTTTAGAAACATCCATGAGCCTTTCCAGGAAATTAGCGAAACGTTCTAGAGGCGTGTTCAGTAACAGGACCGCGAGGGCTGAGCGATACATTCTTGGAAATCGCTGTGCAAACCCACGCGTGTTTTTAGAGGCTACCCCTGGCAGTAGCACTTCTGAACAAGTTTTACACATGGAAACCAGTTGGATTTGGACTCCGCATAGGGGTGGCTGAATTTCTTGGCTTGAGTGCACTTTACCGGGCCCAGCCTGTGCGGCTCAAGTGCTGTCTGGCTATATTGTTCAGGCTCACTTCGCTGCCAGTCTACGATCTGTAGGGTTAGGTTAGGTTAGGGTATGGCACCCTTTCCAATCCATAGGGAGTTGACTCTTTCGAGGCGATCCTTGATCGGGTAGGATGCAATTGAGTTTTGCAATTAAGCGGGGTCCCTTTGGGGATGTCATCTTTTGATAACTCGTTTCCATCTGACCTTTGACATGACCAGAGATCAGAAACAGTATTTGCTACTAGAAGCAAGTCTCTAACAGACGGTGCTGCTATTGAAATCAGCTTCACTTCATCTCACGTCATTCTCGCTAAATTTCCTAATTATCTCAGGTGCCTCCAATGTTTTTCTTGTTTCCGGTTTGGTGGGATAATTAGCTAGCATCTCCCCGACGAAATGGACATAACTGACCATGAAAAGTCCAGTATCCATCCTTGCTGAACAAAATGGCATTATGTAAAGCTAACTAGTGTAGCGAATTGCCAACGAGAATCGCCATCCGACCAGGGAATTGCACAGTATATGAAGCATTGGCTGATGTTTTCCAAATCCTTTCAAGTTAAAAGACTTGGCGGGCTTCGGAAAACAAAACATATTCATTACAGTTATGATCTTGTTTGTCTCAGGTGGAATCTGCCCAAAATGTTCTATTTGAGGTCAGTGCAGGTGATTTCTAATGGGAAATCTGACTGGTCAATTGAAAGGACATAGAAGTGGCATAACTCATAATAAGCACAGGTTGCGCTCTCCAACCCGGCCACGAACTTCGACAAAGATGGAAATTAACCTTTTACAGCCTGTTATATCCCTTGGTTCCAAACCACAGACTGCCATTGGCTCACATTCTGCCGGGTATCGCCATGTGTGGGTTTTCTGCCTGATGGTAATATTGGTCAGAGGCTACGGCCATTGGTACCGCGCAAAATAATGCTGGGCTGTTTATACTGTTTGACACTTCATACAATAACAACAGTTTAAACAAGCACCAGGGCTGCTTATGTCACACAACAGTTTAACTAGAGTCAGGGTATATTTTCCAACTGCCACAGGTTACAATTTTCAAAACTCGATTTGGTCGACCATAATTGTAAGGTAGTATTAGCAAATGTATTTCTGTTTCTAGAATGTTTCAAAATGTGTTCAAATGCGAGTTGTGCTGAACGCTGGTTTCTGAGAAGTATTTCAGTCATGTCCGCATAGCATCAGAGGAAATACCGTTTTTGTTAAAATGCAGGCAAACTGTAGCCGATAGGGTTGGGCAAGAGAGAGAACAATTACCAGTCGTCCTATATACGAACGAAAATGGCAAAGGTTGGCAACGTACTCGCTTCGGTTCGAAAAATGTCAAAACAAAATATCGCCACCATCAGAGGTAGACACCCATTTCCTCACAGGGTTGTGCTCTCAGATTTCCAACCTTATATTTAATAATTACTCACGTAAAATATATTCCATTCAACATTTTAAGCGCCACTCATGGCATACAAAAATCGTTCTTCGCCTGCATTGTCCCGGCCAGCGTCTGGTTCATCGGAGAGTAGGAACAAGAATGAGCAGAAATGACAAGAAATATCATCTTGCCTAATTTTACCATTGAGCTTTTGAAGATAAGTTTTCTTTTCAACTGTCGTTATAGTTATATTTTTATTATCTATTTATTCTAAAAATACACTTCTGACGCAGGGCTGAATGGATGCAAGGAAGGTAACTCTGCAAGTATTCCATCATTCATGACTAACTCCTGTAATTCCGGGACAAGTCGTATAGCGTCTCGTGCCCCTATGGAAGGATTTCATATCGGCGCATGAACATCCAAACTACTTAAACAAGAACGATAACTCTATTCCTGTCTGCTTCCAGTTTATATCACTGAAGGAGTCGTATATTGTATTGATGTTTTCGGGGGGTTTTGTGGGGTTTTTTTATTCAAAGAATTAATCCTCTTTGAAACAACTGAAAGAAGGAGGGAATAAAATTTGTTAAAAGACATAATCAAACTTAATTATTACCAGCTGTTCACCTTATATTTCAAAATGTGTATGTAAATAGGGATTAAGAATCACAAATGGGATTTATTTTATTGAATATGTAACCTTTCTGCCATACCCCTGGTTCAATATTAAATGAATATGCTGAAATAAAAATGAATAACCCCCCAAACGTCAGACGTTCCCCAGATGTTGGAAATTAAAGATTGAAGTTGATCAGTTACATATATTTTAATATGATGGTTTTGAATCTCGTAGCGATAAATAATCACATTTCCTAAAAATGTTGGGAAGCGCACGTACAATCTCCAAAAAAAGCCCATAAGATCGTCAGAGCCATGAGAGCCGTTATGTAAACAAACACACGTGCGTGGATTTGAATCTCACACCTTCCATGGCATTATTCTTACTAAAAACAACATATGAGCCCAAACAATTATATGAGCTATGTTATTTATACTTTTAATATTTTAATTTGTACAATGACATAGTGTCATAAACGATTTAAGGATTCGGGATTATTTTTATCGATGCACCGCAATCATTACGCGAGTTCTGATTGGTTAGTCGTATAAGAATGAGTCAAACCAAGATGTTTTGGCCATGATGTTAATCTTGTATTCTCTGTATCAGGCTGGATTTATTACAGATCGTCATGGCATTGAATATTGCTGAGTGCAGTATTATAAAACAAACAACAACAAATAACAGATCTTACCAAAGCAGAAGACACTTTCGGGAACATTCGTCTGCAAAATGTACCATTCCCTCCCATTATTACTGCACGTGTGTGTGTCGATTTCGAATGTATGGGTGCAGTTGCTGGTTTCGGTTTGAACACATACAGTTGAGGTATTCTCTTTTTTCTCTGCAAGAAAATTAAAGGAATAGCACCACGGCACAGGTGAGGTGCTCATATGACGATGTTCATGCGTGTGTATGTGTATGTGTGGCTGCTTGTACTAGCCAAGACTTAAGCTGGTTTTATAGTGCTAGCCCACTGAGATACCATGCCGCAGTGAAGCATGAATACCCCACTCAGACACATACTGACTCCGAGCCGACCAGTGCTTGTTGTACCCATTAATGCCGAGCGACAGGCAGGGACCAACACGTACCATATTTTAACGTCTTTTGGTATGACGCGGTCGGGGATCGAACCCGCGACTTCCCGCTCTCCAGGCGGACGCTCTAACCACTACACCACGGAGGCGGTCCATCGCACAGTAATACCTGGATATGTATCCAGTAGTTTCAAATGTCAACAGCTACTTAACCAACGATATTGTTACCATTCCTATTTAACCACTGTATACATTTTAATGGAAAACAAATGTACTAACAAATTAAAAAGAACACCAAATATCGGTAAACAAATCGACCTCAAGTTTCTGAACATATCAACAAGAACCAAGACTACACCATCAAATGGGAAGCCACCACAGTCCTGTCTACTGACAACAACTGGCGCCAAAAGAACCCATAGTGTGAGTGACATCGGCAATATTTCAGTCATATCGTGACTATGAAACCTACGTACATATATAGATAACAATCTTTATCTTGGGTGAGTGAGTTAACATTTAAAGTCGCAATATTTCAGCCATGTTGTGACTTCAAAAGTTCTAAATTCATAATAAACGCAATTAAATTATAAAAACATGTCAACGAAGGACAGTAAAAGAGCTAGACTATCATAGATAGAGAATTACAACTAGTATGTAACTGTAAAACTAAACAAACTTTTATAGACAATACAGTATTTAAAACAACGGGCAGGAGATCACTGGCAACTAGGGTCAGGTCACCATACTAGGAACCATGGGTTCTTACAGTACTTTGCTATCTGCATGGACCCTATAGTTTGGCATGAAATACATGTGGACCCGGTTTTTTGTAAATATCTCTTCATCCAATGACCCAATCGATCTTAAACTGTGCAAGTGGATGTTTTGTCAGACAACCTAATCACATTGCAAATCACCGATTTTATGCATTTGTATTAAAGAATCTGTCTATGTAACTGTCAACAAAATAAACAGCAGAACGCAGAATGTTTGCAGAGGGAGGGAGCCAGTGACCTGTAACAGCGTCAGTGTTGGGTCATAAAGGTCAACGTTCGTCAATGTAGGTCAGCTATGCACGTGACAGGTATGAGGAGGTGTCACAGGTCGTGAATAGGGTAAGGTGGGTGCCAACTGTTAACCATCATAAGGAGTTTGTTTCTCTGAGTTGTTCAACATTAACCACAAAACCCATTAGTGAGAATTATGCTGTCGGTTAAAATCTTTAAATTTTCAAATAGCCGGCGAATGACATCTTTGATGACCCTGATGTCAAAAGAATCTAACTTTGGATGCCTACCTTTTTGTACAAGGTTTTGTTTATTGGTTGTTGGGTTTTTTTCACAAATTTTAGCACGATGTTCTTTTCATGCCAAGAGCAAAAGTTGTAGTTTCATGTAATCCGACACCTTGTAAATCGGTTTGCTACGTTTGCTCTCTTTTTTAAAAAGATTAAACGTTTAGCATCATCTGAATAAGCTTTCATGATGACAGCTGGAAGTGGTCAATGTGAATAATCCAACCGGTCTATCACTGTGCAGTGCACAGGTAACTCTCATGAACTGCACGTGCACTGACCTTTATGACCCAACACTGACGCTGTTACAGGTCATTGGCTCCCTCCCTCTGCAAGCATTCTGCGTTCTGCTGTTTATTTTGTTGACAGTTACATAGACAGATTCTTTAATTCAAATGCACAAAAGATCGATTGGGTCATTGGATGAAGAGATATTTACAAAAAACCGGGTCAACATGCATTTCATGCCAAACTATAGCTGGTTTTACACCATCCCTTCAGCCACTGGTGACTGGCCTTAAGTTAAAACACACACATTCTACGATTAAAAAGTAGTAAGTTTAGATTTACAGTGAATATATTGCGACTTAAGTACCCTCTCAGAAGAACAATATTTCTACAGCACTTTAGCACCGTGAGGATACAATCACGAACAATCTCAGTTGCTAATCTAAACTACCGATTATAAAAGTACATCTATTTACAAAACACTTTGGCCATTGGATTTCTTAATCAGTTCTATCTATTTTAAATATTCACTGATAAAATGGTAATTCACCCATAAAAAGATCCTTCAATGTTTTCACTGTGAAATACTTATGATGGACAATCTTTATCTAATTGAAAACCTTCCAACAAAGGGCAGTAAAATAACAAGAATATCATAGCTTTAGTTACCATAAAATGATATGTTCCAAACATTACAATTAAAAACGGGCTATATATCGCCAACAAATGAAGGAAAATCATCATACTAGAGTGAGTGAGTGAGTTAGGATTTAACGTAATATTTGGACAATACGATATAAAAACAGGCTATAGATCGCCAGCACCTGAAAGTAGATCACCATACTAGAGACCACTGGGACTAACTTTTACATTTGCTACAGGTATGGCCCCTAGCTTAATTCACCCATTCCCTCAGCTGTTGGTGATTATGAACAAAGCTGGCCATGAATTAAAATTACATATATTCTACGATTAAAAATTCTGCTAGCCTTTAATCTAGCGGAAGGTCGTGGTCTTACACGACGACAATATTGTCCATAGACATTAGGAGATCACAACCAGAAATCAACAGTTTGCCTGGCACTTGAGACTCAATCATCACTTCTGGCTTCCTTGACCTTGTACTCATAACTAATTAGACCTGGCTTCCATCTGTTTTTTGTCCTTTCCCTTCCCTCCATTATCTGGAATATTGCTAAAAGCGGCGTAAAACCAACCTCAGTCAGTCCATTATCTCATCATCCATGCCTGGGGTAATAATCCCTAGCTTCCACCTCACCAGTTTAGTGCCAATTATTTACTGGCTTTCCTTTTTATCTACTGTGTTGAATTCTCCATCATAAGGGATAAATATTTCAATGTAAAAACAATGAAGGATCTTTCTACAAATGTTAATTATCATTAATTATTGTTTTTTTAAAAAGAAATTGATTTGTTTGATGAATTCTCATTAATGTATTTCGTAAATAAGCATACTTTAAAGATTGGTAATTTAGATTAGTAACTTAGATTGTTAGTGGCTGTACCCTCAGAGGGGGTTAAAGTACTGTAAAATTATTGTCCTCCTGAGAGGGTACCTAAGTCCCAAAACTTTCAAAGTAAAATGTAAATTTACCATATTTTAAACGTAGTATCTTTGTTCGTTTAGCTGCCGGCTACATTTTTCTACAATCGCCAGCGGCTGAAGGGATGGTGTAAATCCAGCTAGGGTCCATGCAGGTAGCTAAAGTAATGTATGTCCCCATGGTTCCTAGTATGGTGATCTGCCTTCTGTTGTTGGCGATCTATAGCCCGTGTTTTATACTGTATTGTCCTCTTTAATTGAAATGTTGTAGCTTTCCTCGCTAGTTTTATTCATATCTGTGATTCTCTAGTATTTTTACTGTCAATCGTCGACAGGTTTTAATCTTCAAAACGTTTTCTCTTTATATTGTATGAATTGTTTTCGTCACGATATGGCTGAGATATTGCCGATGTGACGTTAAATATTAACTCAATCACTCCTTGTTATCTTATCACTCTTGTTGTACACATGTAGATGTTCCGTTGTCTTTCGAAATATAAAGCCTATCAAAACAATACTTTTCATAAAGTGGCAAAGTAAATACCAAATTCCAATCATAAACTAAAACATCTACTCCAAAGATACACCCCCCCCCAAAAAAAACCCAAAAAACTACCATAAATCCTAAAATATTGTCAGGGCGGCAATTACTAGAAATAAGTCCCACACAGTTAAATCTACATTAAATATAACAACACCTATCAGACAAATGCACATATTGCAATGAAACAGAAACGGCCATACACGTCCTACCGCAGTGCATAGCATACACTACCAACAACACAGAATGGTGCTCCAGAAGAGTTAACTGGAGACAAACATACACCTAACAATCCCACGCCCACTAAATAACACCCAAACCTTCAAAGACTTGGGCATATTTCGTATCCAAACTGGCATTTTACCCACTAGTTCTAGCATAAAAAATAATACAAAACAATATATAAAATCAAACAAATCAAATACCAACCAAACCATCCCGAGATATTTGAGATACGAGAAGTATGCGAAGATGCAATTAGTTTCTATTGTCGGAATGTATCTATAACTATTTTGCAGGACAAGCAAAACGCAAGGTGAAATACACCTGAAGACTTTGCACTGTAAAACAATTGTAGAAAATCTGTCATGAGGCCACAAAAAGACAAAACACATAAGACAATCCAACAATATCCTAGAGACCTGTGCATCACAAGGTAATAGTAAACGTTTCTGAAGGCTGTTGCCTTCGTGATTTGGCCGATTACTGATTTACAACATACGAGTGTAGAACACGTTGATGTTTACCTTTCCTCCAAATCGGATATCTTCCTCCGCAATGACCTACACCTGGTGGATAATCTAACATACTCCCACCATCAGCAGATGTCGAGGGGCTGTCGTTGTTCCTTGTATCATCTCTGCCAAGGTTTCCAACATGTGGCCACCGCAGGTGGAAAGCATTCAGGAAGTATTTACGTGAGCACACGTTGTTTGGATCTGCAAATCATGTGAGTAATAATTAATCCTTCATATTTCTATGTGAAACTTACAAGTAGATTCACATTTACTACGATGAAATGCCCATTACAGCGTATTCCCCTTCATATTCCCGTTATAAACTGTATTATGAGGCACTGACATAATATGAAGAAATAAACAGAGGTCTTGAGTTCGGCATCCGTGGTCAACTGGAATATTCTTTTTTACATGAAAGAGCAAAATATGATGCTCTCTTCTCCGAACATTTTCATCTATTGAAAGAGACCTAAATTACTTCAGAATCCCTGTATACAACAGCATTTACATAAGATTTCAAGGAATGTGCAGAAAAATGACACCATTTCTGAATGTCGTGTTTGCTGACGTGACAATCCCTTGACTTTAATTACAACAGCTACAAACAGCCACCAACATTATTAGTCTAGGCATGGAATTTTAACCATTGAGATTGCGTAGGAGCTTCATTTAAGTAACAAAACGCTATTTTAGTCTCTTACTTGTTGGATGTGGCAAGCAGCAGCATGTACCCTACTGGCCTCAGTGAGTGGGCGCGTATGGTTTTAGTGGGGTCTTTGCAGTATTCCAGCAGGGGCATATGACAAATAAGTGGACTCTAACAAACTACTAGTCTCGTTATGGATTGTTACCGAAAATCCCGATGGTGATGTCAGACCCCGTAGCAATAAGTATGAGAGGATAACAAGAAAAAAACATCCCCAAAGCTGTAACAGCTTTCGTCCCCATCTCCTTTTCTGTCTGGGGGCTGTGGGGTAGCCTGATGGTTAACGCTTTTGCTTGTCACGCAGTAGACCCATGTCCGATTCCCACATGGATACAATGTTTGAGGCTTACTCAGTGTAATATTGCTGGAATATTGCTTAAAGTGAAAACCTGTAAAACCCAAATTATTACTCGTATTTGCGTTCTTTCGGTTAAAAAGATCAGGGTTAGAATTGGTTTTCAGTAACCCATGTTTATCCCGACTAGCGGGATAGTCTTACTTAGTTGCCACATGTCATCGTATCCTAATTGCGTAAAACAAAGCTCATAATGTTGATCACTGGATTGTCTGGTCCAGACTCGAATATTTACAAACCGCCATCATACAGGTGTAATATTGCTGTACAAATGTTGAACAAACAAATTTATTCAGAGACACTGCCTTTGTGCTTGGTTTGAATTTAATTTAAAATGAAGAATTAAAAAGTCTTCTTGATTCTTGAGATGTGCATCCCTGGCCAATTACAATTTTTGTTTTGTAGACAAAAGAGAAATTCGACACAATTGGTCAAAATCGAAACCAATGAATGTGAAATGAAGTGATAGGACGCAGACAATAAGTGCCCATCCCTGTTTGCAGAACTGTCCAGTTGCTGATCTGCTTCTTTATGACTATGAATCAGCAATACTGCTCGGATAGGCAAAAGCACCAAGAAAGTAATTTTGCACAAAGAGTAGTGTTTAGTTAACGTACACCGCCAAGATTTGTTCGTTATTCGTCAAAGATCAAGGATCTTTGCACACCTTCAAGTGAGATAACTCAACGGGAGGGAAGTCTTAATTTACCGTTTTCCATCGTCGCACAAAGAGCATCCGGTTAGAAGCACACATGGAATATTCCCACACATATACCCTTAGACAGAATTTCATTCACTAATAAATCATCTGTATGACAAAATATTCTGATTACCATTTCAAAAAACAAACGTATTGTTCTTACCAATTCTACCGGCACTGGCACCAATCATGAAAAGAAGGAGAACAAGGAGGTGGGCTTGTATGGCCATTGTCTGCAACAGATACGTATAACGTAAAACAATTTCATTGGATCATCCGTATGTCTGTACTCCCATCAGTCCAATGTCAACCATATCTCGCTATAAACAAATATTTACTTTCGTTTTGAGTAGTAAAGCTGGCCATTTGCCCCATACAACAAACCTGAGATCAGTGTAAAGCCGTCCGCAAGTCTTATTGCACATGAGCTCTTGAAAATGTTGAACAATTTTTAACTCTCTGTTCTACGACTCGTTTACAGCAGACTCTTCCACGGCAGGATTCTTTTGAATGCACAAGGCATTTGGAAAGTGGTCAAATGTAGCACATTATGTGTGGGATTACACTTTCTAACTTAGCCACTCCGACTTCCACATTTCCTGAGTGGGTTAGGCGGCTGACTGTGTTAGATGGCAATTAGGTGCCTGACTCTCAGAGTTTGGGTTTGAATCCCAGATTGCACTCGACACAATAAAAGTACTAGAATTTGTACTTTACTGAGAATATGTAGTTAAAGTTTTGCTTACCCGATTTTTAAACGTAGTATATTTGTTCCTTAAAAATCCGGCTAAACTTTTCCTACAATCGCCAGCGGCTGAAGGGATGGTGTAAATCCAACTAGGGTCCATGCAGGTAGCAAAGGCACTCTAAGTCCCAATGGTCCCTAGTATGGTGATCTACCCTCAGTTGTTGGCGATCTATAGCCGATTGTTAAATTGTATTGTCCAAAAATATATTCTACTTTTTAAGATATATGCTAGCTAGTTTTAACTCAATCTGTGATAATCTAGTGGTTTTACTGTCCTTCGTTGACAGGGTTTTATATATTATATGTATGTATTATGAATTTAGAACTAGTTTTTTCACGATATGGCTGAAATATTGCCAAGGTGACTTTAAATCTTAACTCACTCATTCACTCACTGAGAATATGTAATCACAAATTTAACACGTGTTACGGCAGTGTTCCTTCTTTCTTATATTGTTTGGTCCTTCCAAATCCAACTTTGTAAATATTTCGAAATATTATTTTTTGTGATTTTAAATTATGGCTAAATCTGACAACATTCGCCAGCGGATGAAGGGTTGATTTAAGTCCAGTTAGGGTCCATGCAGGTAGCAAAAGTACTGCAAGTCCCAATGGTCCCTAGTAGGTTGATATAAGCCTTCAGTATCTAGTTACCTATTGCCCGTTGTGCCTGTTGTCTATAGTGGTATCTTTTTATTATAACATACTAGTTTTATGTTAAGAGCTGTGACACTCCAGCAGTTATACTGTTTTTCTATGACAGGTTTTACCTCCTAAATTTATTGATTTAAATATTGATATCGTCACGATATGGTTGAAATAATGCCGGTTTGACGCTAAATATGAACTCACTCACTCACTATTACCAGGACGGAGAAGATGAAATACAATTTATGAGTCGAACAATGACATTACAGCTAAGTATTATATCGTCGTTTATTTGGTTGCTCCAAATTGCGGCGATGATGCTGATGCATATATCTCTGCATTATCCGCTTCATAAATGATTATTTACAAATGGTCGCGGGGCGGTGGAGTATCCTAGTGGTTCAAGCGTTCGCTCTTCCCGCTGAAGACCAGAGTTCGATTCCCCACATGGGTACAATGTGTGAAGCCCGTTTTTGGTATCCCCCGCCGTGATATTGCTGGAATATTGCTAAAAAAAGCGGCGTAAACCCATACTCTGTTTGTCTGTACAAATGGTCCGCATTCAGCAGGAAGGTCACGCCGCGCGCCGTTAATCATCAAACAAACATATATGAAGGCATCAGTACTAAATAAATAGAAACACTGGAGCACTTCAGTTGAAGAAAAATATACGCTAATGTTATCATGAGTGAGTTTGGTTTTGCGCCGCCTTTTGCAATATTCCAGCAATATCACGGCAGGAAACATCACAAATGGGCTTCAAACATTGTGCCTGTGTGGGGAATCAAACCCGGATCTTCGGCGTTACGAGCGAACGCTTTAACGACTTGGCTACCTCACCACCCCTTATATCACGAAGGTAGGATGAAAGTATAATGAAGAAATAAGGGCTACACTGTGACGCAGAGGAATTAATTCAAACTTACCTTTCTGTTTAGACGTTCTTCCGTGTTGCCTTTGGCGACATGGTCAGGCTAGAAAAGCGCCTCCTTTAAATAGTGTTAACTTGGGGGCAATAACATCACAGCTGGCATGTAATTATTTGATGGTATCTGCATCTGTCAAATTAAAATTTGACAAACCACTAAACACCAATATGTCAAAGGAAATATGTAACATGTTGGTAACAGATCAGATGTTGTGAATACATTGTGTGCACATATATATTGTACATGTGTCATGTACAGAAGGGCATTCACAACCATCCATTGATTTGTCTTGAAATAATACTATTTGATTACCCGTGTTAACGCATTGAAGGTTACAACTGTACAATATAATGCCGATTGCTCTAAAAATGCATGAAACAGATACTTTTATTGGCTGGACAAGCTGATATTGGTTTAATGTCAATCACTACCACAAGCATACAGATATGTTTGTATAGACTAGAAGCGACGATTTGATATTATAATTTAATTATTTAAAAAGAAAAATAGGTAACCCCTACTCAGGAAAGTATAAAGGTTTGTACGTTTTCGCTCAGACTCACTGGTTAGTGTTATATTTTCCATTACGGCATTTTTGTATGTGTTTCACGTAGCCACCGAATTCTGAACATGGGTCGGTCGGTAAAAAAAAACGTAATAAAGACAAAAATATCCAAATAATGTTCTTGATTCTCATTTATTGTAATACTTATTACAATTTCTCGCGTTCTTTGGACTTATGGCAGCAACTGATTAAAAGCTTTTAGATAGATAAACACTTTATATGATGAGGCGGTACGTTTTAGGTTCGAGTCAGCTGTGTTGGATTTGGAAAAAAGTTTGTTGTGGGGGTCGACAATAAAATTAGAAGGGGCGGTCGGGTGATGAGAAACACAAAAAATATGCATGCTGCCCTTCAGGAGTGAATGAGTAAATATTGCTAAAAGC